TAGGACAGACACTATATTGCATCCTTATGAGGTTTAGGCCTTTCAACTTGAGATCTTTGAGTGATTGGGTTGTGTTGCCGTGGCGATCTAGAGCGCCTTAGGTTGTTGTGAGCTTCCAATGAAGGCGTGGTGAGATTTGAGGTGACAACCCTACGTTCTTCATGTGGAACAAAGCCATATTAGTGTGGGGATGAGGAGACCCCACCCCTTGTGTGGAGAAGCTCCATAGTGAACACAACTCAAGGAGAATGGAAGAGTCATGTGGTTAGGTATGGCAATGGGGATGTTCTTGACATTTTGGACCTGTACACTAGCTATGTACGTGGGGCCTTGCGGGGAACAAGGATGGGTGATGGTTTCCCATCCCCGTCCCTGCCACCCTCGATAGGGGACAATTTCTCCTTGTTAAGATTCCCATGGAGGTAAAAATTGTCCCATCCTCGTCTGCCTTGTTTGGATACCCATGTATCCATCTCAATCCATGTGTATTGGAGTGGTTTGGTGTTGAATTTAGTTTAATTCCACAACATACCACTCTAACACACATGGATTGAAGTCAATACATGGGTATCCAAACAAGCCCTAATAAAGGAATTCTCCACGGGGAAACAGGGAACGGGGCCCATTGACACCTCTATGTTTGGTAGTGGTGGGACTGCGTGACTCACATATTAGCCTTGAGGCCTTGTATGGCGAATTTAACACCGTGACCAGAAGAGACTTGGTGACTAGGAGCATACCTCAGTGGAACTCGGACGTGTAGTAAGGGTTGTGATTTGGCAACTGGTACCATGATATATATATATCGTCATGTGTCTAGATGTTTGCTCTCTCTATCACTATCCCTTTACTTCTCATGTTTATAGCTTCCGCTTGTACTTTGCTTATGTGTCATTTACCTTCCTAGATTAGATTTAGGCTAGTTAATAGGATTGACTGTAGGTTGCAAAACTCTTTGTGGGTTAAGGATAAGTTAGAGCACACTAGAAGAACCTTAAGTGCACAGTTTGCTAGAGTAGTTTATACTTTTCTAGTGGTAATAAACCCAAATTTTAAATTGTCGGGTGTGTTCCTTTTTCTCAAGGTGTCTAGTTTCATTTCTAATTTCTCCATATGAACTCTATCAAAGTGAAACTTGTTTTTTTGGATTCCTTACTACATACCCAAGCTTCCTAAACCATTTGTTTACCAAGAATGCACCATCATGCACACTGAATATTTGGTCGAGCTTCTCACATTCATATCCTTATTTACGATGCCTAACTCTTGAAAGGTCTTCAATCCTAAGTCCTCACTTGCAATACTTGACTCTTTTGAGATCTATGACCTTGTCCTCTACTATTATGCTTGACTCTTGATTGATATTCATCTTCAATCTTGAGTCCTTTTATTGTCTTGTTATCAACTCTTAAGGTTGTCTTCACCTTCATGTATGGTGGCCTAATGTTACACTTAATTATCCAAAGCATACGTTAGCCACATATGCCAGCTTATCCTTAATTTTTTTGTCATCATCATTTGAGAACATTTTCATCTTCATGTTTTGTGACCTAACATAAAACATGTTTCTCCAAAACACACATGTTATTCACACAACAAAGTTGTCATTAACCACCGAAAGCACTTACCTGAGAGGACTATAAGCTCATAATCAGAACAACCAAAATGCCTCGTATTGCCACATAGACTAGCACAACATGAGATAAATCTCACACCAGCACAATTCTGACCAATTCTGGTCAATTCCAAGCGTTTTTCGACTCCATCGATATAGGTATTGCCACCCCAATGCTTGCAGACTTCCTTGTACCACATACTCTTAGCACAGTTGTCGATGCTGGAAAGGTATTTTTAGAACCACTAACACCTATGCCTGCACTGTGTGTGTGGAGCCACATGCAATGGGTAAGGCCACAATAGGAAGCTTTCTAATTCTTTTCCTGAGTTTCCCCCTTGAATGGAAAAGGAAGCTAGTGTCTTTAGCTTATTGCCTTCTATCCACCGCACATCCCTCGAGACATGTATGGCCTTTTTTTGCCCACTAATAGTCATATAGTCAGCGTTACCTTATTAAAGTTATGATGTATAAATGCCACTTCATATTTGTTTGTGCTGTTACCTATAATTATTCTATTTATCAATATTATGATGGTACATCGATATCGTTGGTACCGAAACGTTTCATTCCAATGAGCAAACTGAAATAGCAATCAAAATGGTATTGACAAGTTTGACATTAGGTTCAAATTAGTGTTATTCTTGACAAACCGTCTACATGGCTGCAAACTATGCACCTGACAGGTAGAGCCCACATGCTCTCTCCCGCCCGTCTCCTTGCTAGGGCCACCCCTCAAGCTTCGCTTCTCCATTCTTATGGTCGCACGAGAGGTCAAGTACCTCCAAGTAACAACCACCATCTATTAACGAAGACACTAGAAGATCGAGAAAGGGACATGTGGGCTCTACACAAGCTTTACTGTAAATAACAATAATTTTAGATACTAATGTGACTTAGTAACTTTATAGATTTAAATATACAATTTTAAAAATTAGAGATTACTTACCCCTTCGTCTTAAATTTTCGTATTTTAAGGTGTCTATTAGCTTCAAATTTATATATATATAACACTAATATTTATGATGCCAAATAAATATAATATGAGATGCATATTTATATTGAAATGAAAGTCGTAATGACATGATCCTAGCAACTCCAGTGGCATCCAAATCAGAGCCCCTATTTTTGATTTGGGTGCTCTCCCCTATTTTTGTTGGCCTAATTTTTTTCTTTCACTCCAGCGGCAACATCCAAATTTAGGCCCCCAAATCTATTTAGGTAGACACTGATGAAAGGGACCCGTTCATCATCCTCACGCTCTATCTATTGAGCTATACACACGGGTAGAGGGGAAGCGGCGAGCAGCGCCAGATCGGCGACATTGCGCCCGTAGCTTGTCGGGCGTGGGGGAGCACAGGAGGTCGAGCGGATCGCAAGAGGTGGAGCAGGAACATCGGGAAGCATCGGCGAGGGGCGCGCCGTGCCGGCAGGAGGCCGCGCTAGGAGGTGGCCGTGCCGTCAGGCCGTGTCGAGCAGGGGCGGGGCCGCGCTGGAACACTCACGCCGGGCAGGGGAGGGGACTCGTGCTCGCCGGGAGGGGAGGATTGGCGCTCACCGGAGCCTGGAGTGGAGGGCGGCACGATGGAGGTGGAGGCGGGCGGCTACACTCGCGCGGGGGGAACTGTAGCAACAGCCGGATGGGGGCCGAGGGGTGAGCCCCATTCTCCCGCACGAATGGGGTCTGGAGGATGAATTTGGGTGCCCACCATAAATTGGGGCTTAAGCATGGTCCTGCTAGAGCTACGTTTTTGGACTAGGCACCATATTTAGGGCCTGTTTGTTTCCATGGGAATAGGGACTAGAGACTAAATTTTAATTCCTTTTAACCAAACAGGAGGGACTAAAACAGTGACTAGAGACTAAAAGGCATAAATTCCTTTGGGTGCCCACCATAAAAGGCTTATTGTATGGGGCTAAATTGACACCCCCATGCTCCTCATCGGTCCCCACCCCTTAAGGGTATTTTAGTTTTTGTTCAGTAGCTTTAATGTCCTTTAGTCTTCTCTAGTTTCTGAAACAAAATAGGGTTGAAGACTAAAGTTTATTTTCTGTCTTAGTCTCTAGTCCTATGATCAGAGAAAAGAACGGGGCCTCGGCTATTGAGGCTCAAATAAGGGTAGATGATCCTGCAGAGTGAACTAAGGTGGTGTTTGGATCCAGCGACTAAAATTTAGGAGGTGTGTCGGGAGATGATGCATGGGGTGTTTGGATACTAATAAAATAAATAAATTATATAATCCGACAGCACTCCACGAGATGAATTTTTTAAGCCTAATTAATCTATCATCAGCACATATTTACTATAGCACCACATTGTCAAATCATGGACTAATTAGGCTTAAAAGATTCATCTCGCAAATTAGTCGCAAACTATACAATTAGTTTTGTAATTAGTCTATATTTAATACTCCATATATGTGTCCAAATATTCGATGGGACAACGACTAAAATTTAGTAGGGAACACCACCTAATTTTACGGCGTGTTTAGTTGGGTGAATTTTAGAATTTGGGCTATTATAGCACTTTCGTTTTTATTTGGCAATTAGTGTTCAATCATGGTCTAATTAGACTCAAAACGTTCGTCTCGCGATTTCCAACCAAACTGTGCAATTAGTTTTTTTTCGTCTATATTTAATGCTCCATGCACGTATCGTAAGATTCGATGTGATGAGTACTGTAGCACTTTTTTGGAAATTTGGCTTGGGAACTAAACACGGGCTTACTCTACAGTCCCGTTTGGCACCGCTCCACTTCACCCATGAATTCCTTTTTTGGGGCTTCAGCTCTATGAACAGCTTTATGTGTGGAGCTGTAGCCGTTTTGATAAATCGTTTGGCAAAACAGCTTCACATATAGTTTTTCTTAAAATATGTTCTTAGAGAACGCCATGTAGAATGAGGTGAAGCCGAGAGAAGCCACTATTTTTGGCTTCTTCCCACCCTAAAGCTCTGTGAGAACACGTTTTTAGGGTTTTCATCGGTGGAGCCGTTTTATTTTACCTCATTTAATGAAAACGCGGCCTCGCTCGCTGCAGGTTCTCTACCAAACGGGCACTGCATAAAAAAAAAAAAAAAAAAAAAAAAAAGGGCAAGGGCAACGGGCCAGAGTCAAACCTCACTCCAGCCGTTCCAGGGACAAAGCCGTAAATTCCGCCACGTTTCCCCGTGCCGGCCCCACCCTGTTTCTCCCTTTCTGCGCGCACTGTGCTGCTGCGTGGGTTGGGTCCAAGTCTCCGTGTCGTCTCACGACTCCACTTGCTGCTCTTTGCTGGCTCTGGCTACTTGCGGCAACTCCCATCCCCACGCGCTCGCTCCCATCCGATATCTGAGATCTCACCCGCCTCTCCGGCGAGCGGCTGACGGGCGGACGGTCCCTCCGGCTATGGGGAACTGCTGCTCCGACGAGGTGAGCCACGCCGGCGCTCACCACGTCGGCGCCACCGCCGCCAAAGCCGCCTCCGCAGCCTCCGCCGCGGCCGACCGCTTCCTCCGCTCCCGTGGCGCCGGCGCGTGCACGCAGATCGAGGTACGGAGCCCCCCAGCATCCTCAAGGTTCTACCTATCTCCAGCGTTGGGTCAGTGGTACGCGGCGCGGGCGCCAGCAGCCAGCAGCTCGGCCACCGGCATTGCGCCCGGCTCTGGCGACGGCTCGGCCCCACCGCGTGTTGTCCCTTTGCTTGTTTGCGGATCGGTGCTCTGGTTTTGTGGCGTTCGCGGAGGACACACCGGGGGTAGCGGGGACTAGTTTGTTTGTGATTGGAGTGATGGGAATTCTCAGTATTTTCGGCTGATACTACTAGCTATCTGGTCCCCCGTCACGCCTTTTAGGCTGCGGATTACCCTTTCTGTGAGGATTCGATGTGTTACCATTTGGTTCACGCGATCTAAAAGTGGCAGCGCGGGAAAATGACCCGTGGGCTTAGGCTGGGATAGGACACTGTCATGTACTCATGTTACTACGTTATTCCCTCGTGCTGCTATAAATGGGTTTCTAAGATTCTTTGCAGATTAGTGTTTTTACGAAATGACATTGGTACCCCTGTCAAAAGTTGTCATAACATACAATAGTTGCACTTTTGAAATAGAGAAAGTAGCCAAGCGTTCTAGTGCTAGGTGGTTAAGTCCATTTATCGTGGGGCAAAATTTAAATGATAGAACTAGAAGTGCACTTATTATTACTTATTAGGAGGGAGGACATATATGCTGTGATGATTGGGCACTAGGCTGATTTGACTACGCTGGCCACTGGTTTGGTGCTTTTCCAACAATCTTGCTGATTGTGGTCAGTGGCTTTTGTGTTGCCATTGAGCTGTGATTGAAGATGGTTATGATGGTTGAGTCATATGTTTTATGATATCTCTATTGATTTGTTCACAACCTGTTTTGGGTATCTAGTCTGCGGCTCTTCGCTGATTTTGTGAGTAGCATGCTTTAAGCTGTAATTAAGCAGTATGACCGTAGCAACTTCTTCATTAATGCTATGTTCTGCGGTACAGTTACTTGGAATTATTTGATTTGGGTACCTGGGCATTTCATATTGCTGTTTTAGTGTTATGTGGTACTGATTCCTAAGGGTTTGGTACTCCAATTTTGCTCCATGTGAGGACTGTGGTCATATATGTGATTTTATGTCATGTGTTACTTTGATTCTATTGCGTCATCTGTCATTTGTAGTAGTAGAATTTTAGTTACTGAATTGATCAGGCTTGTTTAGTTGTGTAGTATTTTGATTCTGCCAGTATAACATGTTGCAGTTATCTCTCTCAGCATCAAATTTGGGTGATCAAGAATATTTTCCCAAGGTATGCTCCTTGTTGCACCTCTTGCATTTGTGACTTGCTATTTTTCATTTCCTTGCATCTCCTTTAAAAAGACAAGCAAAAGAACTACTTATTGTGTTAAATTCTGCTTCGTATCTTCACTGGAATCTATATATACTGCCCTGTCATGTCACTATTGAATGGATTTGTTAGTGCATGTTGAATCGTCTTTTTTGTTTAAAAGCCTAAAGTGTTTAATTGAGCAGTTATCATTAATTTCTAAGAATGCAAAGCTTAAAAAGGAAGTAGCAGGCTAATTATAACAGAAACAATAGACTTCCTTATCTCATAGTGCACAGTGTTAATCAGCTATTGTAACATAGCCCCATTTGAATAGGTTATTGGGATTCTGAGAAATCCGTACGCCATCCAAATGGTGGAGATAGTAAGGCAATTTCTCAAAGTCTTATCACACAAATTTTCAAAATCTCAGAATCACCTTCATGCTAGATAATCCAGATTTTAGAATCCCGGATCATCCAAATGGCACCTTAATATGCTGCATAAGTATAGGTTGGTACTGGCAAGAACATTCTTATGGTGAAGTCATTTATTTTTAAGGACTCTGCACGATTTAATTCTGTTTGGTTAACATTTGATTATGTCCCAGTAAACTTGTAATAGAAACTTGAGAAGCTAGCTCGTGTTTCAGATGATACTTTACCATTTACTATTTTACCTATATCACCAAATTTTGTGGCATATTCTTATGCTCCCAATGTTAAAGCAAGACAATAAAAACTATAAGGAAGAAATCCACTTTAGTTCCCCTGGGACTCTTACTATCATTTAATTTGCATCCCACAAATCTTAAAGCCAGTGCACATGAATTCTGTGCCTAATCACCTGGTTTTGTCCTATGTGGCTGTCCAGTCATATTCTCACAGCAGTATACACTGGGTCAGCTGTCAGCTCTACCTTTTACCCTTCCTTTTTTTTTCTCAAACATGCAGGAGAGTTGCGTATCATTATATTAAGATAAAAAGGGGAGAACCCTTACAAACCCGCAGACTCTAAACACACTCTAGAGAGAAGTTAAACCCTTCCTTTTTCTCTTTTCTCTTCCCTCTCTTTCTTCTCATCACTAAGCTTGACACACTTGCAGTCACAGGCGGGTGCCATGTCCTATACACCCACTTCCTCACTTGTTCTACCATACACACAACTAGTTACTACCAAAGTCTTCCCTTTTTCTGCTTCCACCTTCTATAGCTTCCTCCTCACATGTACCACCCCTTCTCAAGCTCCAATTTCATCGTTGTTTCCAAGGCCTTTATTGAAAGTGAATTTCGAAATACGTCATAGAACTGGCACTTTGAGTTGATAGATTTTGTTTCCTTTCTAGCACCTTTCCTTGCTCACTGCTTCAAGGAAAATAGCTGCAGCTACCTTTCTCTCTGCATCCATGTTACCTCTGAATATTTGTCGAGTTCTTATGTTGCCTCCCTTTGTTAATGGCTTTCTCTTTTCCCTCAGAGTAATCCCATGGTGGTTGTGTATTCCAAAAGGAGAGATGGGGCACTTGAAGAAATTGGGCGTAGTGAAGTAATTTTAAATTCATTGAACCCATTTTGGACGACCAAAATCAGTGTGCAGTACCAGTTTGAGGTTCTTCAGCCATTGGTGTAAGATTCTGTCAATGTATACTTTAAACTTCTCCAATGTTGTATCTTATATATTCGTTAAGAGTGGGTGTTGCCTCTTAATTATCTTATTGCTTTAACGTGTTGCCTCTTAATTATCTTATTGCTTTAACTGATAATTTTATTTGCAGGTTTCAGGTCTTTGACATCCAGCAGCAGTTCCATGATGTCAGTGAAAAGGTGACTACTGTTGCAATTCTTTATTACTTCTTCTGTTGTACTCCCTCTATCCAAAATACATGGCGTGCACATATTTTAAGATTTAAACTAAGTGATATTTGACCCACAATTAGTCTAACATTATGAAAAGTTTGTGATATAAAAGTGGTTACATTGGATCAGGGCCGTCTTGGCATAAATCGGGACCCAGTGCTGAAGTCTAAAATGGGGCCTAGCAGGCTAGCAAACTGCAAAAGAGAATGATATAATAATATATGGATGAAAATGTATTACATTGCAATGGGATATATCAAGAATTGTACCTATTCAACCCTTGGTTGCATAATCTTTACTTGAACAACATTCTTTTGGAGTTTGTTGAAATGAAATTCTCTTCAATTATATACTCATAATCAATCTTCTCCAATACGTCACTCTCAAGCGCTATTGTGCAAATCATTAATCCTTTGTTGATTCATTTTAGAATGCAAGTATGACTTCAATAACTTCAATTTAGAAAAGCTTTTGGTAACCTGATTCATAATTTCTAGACCGATTTGCAAAAGACATGGCTTGGATCTTGGGAACACTAGACGTCTTGACCAATCGATGCACATGTATACAAAAGATGAAAAGAACAAAATTTAGGGATATACATCATATATCAAACAATAAACAAGCTTGTACTTATTCTGTGGTTGACTAGTCCTATCATATGCACGGTTGGGCTTGCATGTTGCAGCTCTAGAAATTGGGTCAAGGAGTAGAGGGTAAACCTGATGTGCTATTGGGTCGTAGCAAAGAAGATTGGGGGGCCTGTGCGGTCAACTCACACATGCTGCACACCTGTATGTCACACATGCCTCACACACACCTACAGGGATGGGCCTGCATTGGATTTGTATTTAGAATACTTTCTAATAATCAAACTTTGTTTCCATGAATAATATGTTATAAGAGAAATTAGTGGTCAAATTATGATCTTAAAGACTCTTAAGTCAAACCATATCTTATATTTTGGGATGAAGTATTTGCTTCGGCCACTGAGTCTGCTAATTGCTAATGGTCAAGCACGCTTGATACTGTTAATTGGCATGTTCCAAGCTGAAAAAAGCTGGCATGTTTTAATCTTCAGGACCTTGTGATCTATTTACTGTTTTACTTGGGTTCAAAATGGAATTATGTAGAATCAGATTCAGATATTTTTATTTTTATTTTTCACTGATACTTTTATACCTTATATGCCACATTTAGATTTGGTTTGTTGCTTAAAAAGTATTTAGTTATTTCAAATATATAATATACACCTATTTTTATCTTAAAATGTCTAGTATTTGTCACGGTCCTGCTCGGGGGTGATCGGTTGAGGGGCGGCTAGGGCAGGGAGCGGCAGCATGGGGATGCGTGGGGGGCGGGGGAGTGGCGCTAGGGTAGGCGGTGGCATGAGAGGAGAGGGGGCGGCGCTGCAGAGAGAGAGAGAGAGAGAGAGAGAGAGAGAGAGAGAGGAAGAGGTAAAGGGGAAAGGTTCTATTCCTTGCTTAAGATTGAAAGGTTACATCGCCCCTCTATTTATAGTCTTGGGAGACTTGACCCCTAAGCAATCTGACTTACCCTCCAAGAAACTATAAGAAGAGTCCTTATAGATTTGGACTCTCCTTTTACAAGCAAAACTATTTTATTTCCTAATAAATCTCAATTTGATTTCCTAAACAAATCTCTAATTATTTTCCCTATTTTTATTCTTAACTTTCCTTTATTTTGGATCTCCCGGATATTCGTGGATTTGATGGGGCGATGGTGGCCCACCCCCCTGGCCACGCGCCCCCATGCCGCGCGGGAGGAGTCCCTGGCGCCGGCCAGGGCTGGGTCTCGGGCCTCTCTGGCCCGTTTGGCCCTTCGTAGAATTTCCAAACAGAAAAGAATCAAATGCATATTCTTGGTCTTGACGCTTGAGAACTGGGAGTTCCTGCCTGTTTGAAGCATGATTTGATCCATTAAGCATACATTCGTATTGATTTTTGCAGCTGCTTTGTAATTCATACGCTAATCTGCTCTACAATGCAGATGCTTAAACTGGAGGAGCAAGAGTTTCTTGGAGAGGCTACCTGTCTTTTGTCAGAGGTATTGGCTAATGGAATTATTATGTTTTTTTTTCTGGTTATATTGACTTTGGTGAAGACTTTAAAATACTTTATTTTCTAGTGAGAATAATTTTTCTGTCGTAATATGAACAGAACTTCAAATAGTTTAACATAAAAGGGAAGGGGAAAGAACAATGTAAAGAGACTAGAAGGCACTACGACAGTGCATAATGCATGTGCATTCTAATATTTGTCATGTTTGCTTGCTGTGCAACTTGGCTAGTGTGGAGTCATGTGGTGATTTTTAGTGATCAATAAATAGCAGGTAAGCTCTTAAGCTGAACCTGTGAAGTCAAACTTCCATCCATTTTTATTTGTTTGCTTTCACAATTCAAATCTATGATGCCCGAGTACGTGGATACGGATACTGGTATGCTATACGGTGATACTCTGATGCTTCGGGTGTGTTTGGTTGCCAGATTGGGATTGCATCGTATATCCTGCATGAGCGGACGCAGGCTGGGTGGAACCGTATTTCAGAAAAGAATGTGTTTGGTGAAGTTGCATGAGCGGATGCAAGAAAGCTGAGATGATGTTTGGTTGACTGCATGAGCGGATGCGCCTGTCTGTCCTGTGAGACTGACGTGTGGGTCCGCAATCTTCATCCTGCATCCTGCATCCGCCCATGAAATTGAATCCACTCGTGCAGGCTAGATAGCGCATACAAGCAACCAAACAGACTGCTCAGGGATCTTTATACGGCTCCGGTCATGCAGGCTGGGGCAGCAGGGCAACCAAATATGCCCTTCATTTCTCCCAAAACATGGATACAGGGATATGCTGTTATAATTTTTAAAAAAATAGCTATCAGTTCATCAAGTAAGCTATGGACTTCTAAATTGAAGCTAGATTCAATAGCTGAAACATCCTCGTCTTCTCATTGCTCTCTTTCGGAAGTGAAATATCTCTAGGAACTGACCTGCCAGCAGCAATTTCAGCTTGCAGTTGTTCAAGAACATGAATAGTCCCTTGTACAACTTCTTTTCTTTTTATTAATAAAATCTTATAGTGGGGGCTTTCCTTGCTGTACTATACTATATATATATTTTAAAAAAGAACATGAACAGTCACCACTTTACAAAACTTCGCCCCCAAAATAGTAACTTTTAACAAAGGAGAATTAGAGGACTTTTAACCAAGGAGAATCAGAGGAATGTATGAATCAGCACATGAGGAGACTGGGAAAGTGAGAAGGACAAGGGAAGGACCAAACTGAGAGATGGTGGACTCACCACACAAAAGGGGAAGGAACAGCAATCGCTGGTAGCGTGCATGGAGGCGGAATGGGCGATGTGATCCAAAGGGAAGAGGGAAGAGGCACTGCAGGTAACGTGAGGTGGCCGGGCGGAGGCGGAGAGGCATCGGCGGCGGGCGCAGCTCCACAGAGGGAAAAATTTCAGGCGGGGAATGGGAGCTGTCGGGTCGAGGTGACGGCGGTGCACAGCTCCATAGAGGGAAGAGGCATAGGCGGGGAATGGGAGGTGTCTGGGCGGAGGTGAAAGCGGTAGCGGCATGTGCAGCGCGCCAGCTCCGCTCCGCAGATCTATGGCGAGCAACATCAAGGGAACATGTCTGCCACGTACGAGACATTGGTAGCTGTGTCTACGTCAGTGCTGGTTATGGTGCATGGCAGGTGCTCGGGGGCTGTCCTTCCTGACTGCCCCACTCCCTGATGGTTAGCTGTCTGGTCGCCTCGATAGCTAGTTCACGGGCGCAAATGTAATCAGTCAAACTGTGGTGTGGTGTGTGTGTTGTAAAGGGTTCTTAATATAATGAAGCGCAGCTTTCCTGCGTTTTTCGAGAAAAAAATAACTGCAAGGCAGTACTTGCATGTTGCATCACCTGAAAGATTGTTGCGATTCCAGAATTTCTTAATGTTAAAATGTTTCAAGACCATCCTAATTTTAGATTAATACTATTTTTTACTTCGTTGAAGACAAAGACTGTTTTTGCAGGTTATCACCAAACGGGACAGACTGCTGACTCTGAAGCTTGGTGTCTCTGAACATAACTTGCTGAATCCTAATAAATTTGGTGAGCTAACTGTTCAGGCTGAGGAAAGTTCAGGTTCAAAAGCAATAATGGAGATGATATTCCGCTGTTCGGATCTTGAAATCAAGGATCTTCTAACAAAGAGTGTAAGCTTACGGTCTTATGTTTTTAGGTCTTCCGTTCCTTTTTCCTTGGTACATATTTGCGATTGCTGTTTGGCTATGCCTATCTTTTTCTCGTGTCATATTTCACCATTCTGACAGCCTACCTTCTTGTTCACTTGTGTTGCATACCATCCTGATTTCTAAACATGCTTTGTGACAGGATACTTTCTTGCTAATATCTGGAATATCAGATAGTGGAATGCCTGTTCCAATTTGCAAGACAGAAGTAAGAAAGAATGATCTCAATCCTAGGTGGAGGCCAGTGATTCTGAATCTGCAACAGATCGGAAGTAAGGCATGAGACTATCTTCTTCCTTTTTACATTTGTACTTTTGTTGATGTTTGCTATAAAAACCATCTATTATCTGACTATATTTAACCCTGACACTCCTAGGCAACACCATGCCTTTGATTGTGTAAGCGCCAACTATTGCGTGTCATGTGAGATCCAAATCGATTACTTTTGTTGGCTATTGATGAAATATTTTTTTAATCTAGTCATTACGGTTATATTGTGTTGCAGGAGAACCCTCTAATTATAGAGTGCTTTAACTTCAGTAGCAATGGCAAACATGACCTAGTCGGGTAATTGTCCTCTGTTTAACTCATTTCACTGCCTGCACTTGATATATCTGTTTGCTATTTGCTTCTTTTCCATTTTAGTCTGTTCATAAGTAATTAAGTATGTTCCATGGTGCCTTAGATCCTGGGCCATTAATACTTGAATTCCAATTTGTTTTCTGATTAGATACCCTTTTGTAATTCGACAGCAAGATAGTCAAGTCAGTCGCAGAAATGGAAAATATGTGCCATAAGAAGAATGGTGAAAATTTCTTTGTTCCTGCCAGCAATGCACATGAATGTCACAGTAAGGAGGTAAAATTTTTACTTTGGAATGTCTTCAACTGTTGCATTGTGTATATTGTTTTTCATTCTGATATGCAGGTATTGAAGAGTCAGCTATATGTAGAGAAATATGTTGAGAGCAACAGGCATACTTTCCTAGATTATATTTCTGTTGGGTGCCAACTGAATTTTATGGTAGGCGTAGATTTCACAGGTATGCAACAGACATGGTAGTGCAAATTGTCCTTTCCTCATTACTGTTTCTAGTCATGATTCATGAACTCATGCTTAATATGTTATTGTTGATGTTTATCCGTTCTAGCTTCAAATGGAAATCCACGGCTTCCAGATTCTTTGCATTATATTGACCCCTCAGGTCGGCCAAATGTATATCAGAAGGTGAGCCACTGATTGCTTACCCATTTATTCTTATGTTCTGATGAGTGATGGCCTTTTGAGGTTCTGAACATATACTGATTTTGAATTCTTCTGTTTCTGTTTTGTGGAAGGTAATACTGGAAGTTGGTGATGTTCTACAATATTATGACCCAGCGAAGCGTTTCCCCGCTTGGGGCTTTGGAGCAAGACCTATTGACGGTCCTTGTTCTCATTGTTTCAACTTGAATGGCAGCGCTTATCAACCTGAGGTATTATAATTTTTTTTTGCTACATGTTGGGTTTCAACTCTAGCCTACCCCAACTTGCTTGGGACTAAAAGGCTTTGTTGTTGTTGTTGTTATTCAAATGCTTGTTTTCTCCAGAATAATTTCAAATGTCGCTTCTCGAAAGCTGACTTTGACAGTAGATTGGCTGCTATATTTATTTCGTAAAAGTAAAAGACATTTCTCGAACACAAAGTAAAGCACATTTCATGTTCTGGAGGATTCTTATTCTCATTGGAGCTATTTACTCATAAACTGATCTTATCACACTTCCTCAGGTTGATGGAATACAAGGAATTATGTCAGCTTATATCAGTGCTCTTCGTAATGTATCATTGGCTGGTCCTACCCTCTTTGGTCAGTTGATAAGCACCGCCATGGCGATAGCTAGCCAATCTCTTGCTGACAATCAACAGAAATACTTCATTTTGTTAATAGTCACTGTATGTATAACTGAAAACATCATCAAAAAATATTGTTCATGTTTTTCTTCTTAGACATCAAACTATTTTCCAGGATGGCGTGGTGACTGATTTTCAAGAGACTATTGATGCCATCATAAAGGCATCAGATTTTCCTATATCCATCATTGTTGTTGGAGTTGGAGGGGCTGATTTCAAGGAAATGGAGGTAATGTAAGAACCAGATAAGTTGTTACAGTTTTATAATTCATTTGTTATTAGTATTTTCTTTGGGATATAAAATTGAAATGTTATTGGCTGCATAGATGCAGCGCTGTAGGAACATGGGATATAAAAAATTTCCTTCCCAGCAACAATTGGAGCTCCAGGAATAGAAGTTAATGATTCAATGTTTCAATTTTTTTCCAGTTCTACTTCTCTCTAGCTGTTACTTCCTCAGTTTCATAGAATCAGCACCCATGTACTTTATATATCGAGTGATAGTAACAAGATTTGGTTTCTGATGTTTAAGCATAAGATAAATGGTGTCAACATAGTTTGATATTAAATTTTGTGTAGTGTAGTTTCTAGATCCAAATAAAGGAGAGAAACTGGAAAGCTCAACCGGGAGGGTTGCATCAAGGGATATGATACAGTTTGCCCCGATGAAGGATATGCACGGTATGCATATAGCACAGAATTCAATCTCTCTTTTCTTTTTCAGTTTCCTCCCTGAAAAGATGAAAAATAGATGATTCGAGTGTAATATAAAGTACTCCCTCTGATTCCAAATGTAAGTGGAGTATTGAATCGATATCTGATAATCTCCAATATGGTACTTTGACTAATAATATATTGTTTCAAATAATATATTGTTTCAAATAGTATTTTTTATGATGAATCTAGTCACATCAACTTGTGTTGTTGATCTATATGATTTTTAGGTTTTTGATGGCCGAAGCTAAATATATTTCACTTAGGACAAACATACTAAATTGACTTAATTTTGGTTCAGAGGCAATAGATTAATCTTTTTAGTCAGTATAAAACAACAGGAACTGTTTGCATATATAGCCACATGTATTATTTTCATATATAATCCCACATTCTGCATCTTTGCTGGAACAAGCGGTCTTATAATTGGTGCATCCTTATTTGCAGGCACTGGGGTATCTACACTTCAGTCACTTCTTGCTGAGATACCAGGGCAATTCATGACGTATATGAGGACAAGAGAAACTCAAACAATTAGTTAGTACATGATGCCTTCAATCAGTACAAGATGCGCCCTCGAATATTCTTTGTCAATATTATTTTCGGCCTTTCCATTACATAGTGGTGCAAGTTTTAAGTCATGGATATGAGGTAGGTAATATGGAGGAGTCAAGTGTAGGTGAAAGATTGACCTCCTGGAGATGCCAACATCAAATTGGTGAGTTGAGCTTTCTTAAAAAGGCTGGCATAAAAAAAATGCTGCCTGGGAAGAGAAATGAGGACCTCCACCTTAATTCTATGCCATTTTTTTACCAAGGTTTATTCTGGTTGGAGTTGGATTCCTAGGCTGAACTCTCTGTACCTGTTTGTAAAATACGATTTTAGGGTTTGCGCCTTTATTATCCTTATTAGGTACACTAGAATAGGAACTATTTTGGCATTGCACATTCAATTTTTCAAGTATTCACGATATTCTGCATGGCTGTTGAGTTCATATATGGTGGTGACTTGTGACCAAGCTGTTCGGCTGATGGTTTCTACGGCTGATAAGTATGTTGTTTTGTTGTGAGAGAAAAACACTGTACCAAGCGAATAGGGCAGACTGGAATATAGAGCATTTGTGGTAAGCCATATGTGACAATCTCAGAGAAGATTTTAGGCATCGGGTTGCAATATGTTTTTTGTATTGTTTCTCTTTTAACTATGTATGACCAGCACGTTGGTTAAGATGTCAGTTGGACTTTTTAAGTTGTGTATATGCTAGGGTAACCCGTGCAGCGATGGAGGCTGGAGGAGGCTGCAGTGGTGTGAACTCGAAATTGGCAGTGTCTGTTCCCGGACAGTATCCAGAAGAGAAATTGTTAGATGTAATTTCTACTCCTAGCCTCGTGGTAAAATAAAATCCCCTAAAATTTGCATCTCTTCGGAGCCACCCCTCCATCTGGCGGTGTTTCAAGTTGCCACCAAGTAAATTTTTAATATTACGTGTCTGGCTCGGATGGTGTGCTAAGAGGACACGAGGTTTATACTGGTTCGAGTAGAATGTCTCTATGTTCAGTTCGTTGCTGCTGTTTGTGTTGATAGCACTGAAAGTTCGTAGTAGAGGTTATAAATGGGCGAGAGAGGGACATGTCCCAAGTCTTTGATGGAAATGACGAACAGGTGCCGAGACCTTGGTCGCTACTCGGTTGTATGTTAGGGGTTTTTTGATCGATCGGATTCGAGTCCGATGGTTTTATGTGATGTGTTGTGATTGTTGGTTCGATGCTTCGACGCGTTTGCCCGATGCCCTATAATAGGACGTCTTGCTTTTTCTTTTATAGGTAAGGGAAAGCAGGGGTTACAGCGAGGAAAAGAGGAGAATCAGAAGAAGTCCTCTAGGATCGTCGAGTCCTTCTCTTCTATGCGGGTCCCCCCGACCCTGTAGACGTCAACAGGGATAGATTCACGTCGTGGCCTTGTCCATCACTGGCACCATGCGCAGGCGTCATCCGCCGGTCATGGCGCTCCACCCTCTCCTGGCGGACGTCGTGGTGAACCGACGCGCCCATCAGTGTTCGTACAAGGGTTAGGCAGAACAGCACCGGTACGCTCGACTTTGTTCCTGATGTGAACCCCCAGGTATGGCCTGTCGTGGTTGCGGGTTACATCGAGGCGTGCCAGTCGCCTCCCTGGTGTCAGAGCTATGACCCAGGCCCATACGCTTGGACCTAGAGTGGTTGACAGCGGTATGGGTCTTCGTCGGGCGAGACGGAGCCCCCGGCCTCAGGGTCGGACGAGGCGGAACCCAAACCTAAGGGTCGGGCGAGGCGGAGCCAGCCCTTAGAGGTCGGGAGAGGCGGAGACACCCTCAGGGGTCGGGCGAGGCGGAGCCCGTGGCCTTGGTGTCGGGCGAGGCGGAGCCACCCTCAAGGGTCGGGTGAGGCGGAGCCCGCGGCCTCGGTGTCGTGCGATGTGGAGCCACCCTCAGGGGTCGGGCGAGGCGGAGCCCGCAGCCTCTGGTGTGTCGGGAGGCGCCCACCCTCGTGTATGGCCTGTCGTGGTTCAGGGGTTACATCGAGGCGTGCCGGCCTCCCTCGTGTCGAGCTATGACCAGTGCCCATCGCTGGACTGGGGTTGGCCAGTATATGGTCTCTCGTCAGGCGAGCCGGAGCCCCTACCTCGAGGTCTGACGAGGCGGAACCCAAACCTAAGGTTCAGGCGTGGGCGAGGCGGAGCCAGCCCCTAGAGGTCGGTGGGCGAGGCACACCTCGGTGTCAGGCGGAGCCACCCTCAAGGTGTCAGGTGAGGCCCCTCGGTGTCGTGCGAGGCGGAGCCAGCCACCCTCGGGGGTCGGGCGAGGCGGAGCCCGTGTCGGTGTCAGGCGATGTGGAGCCAGGCGGGCGGAGCCAACCTCGTGGGCTCCAAGGCAGGCGCCCACGCCTCGGTGTCGGGCGAGGCGGAGCCAACCCTCAGGGGTCGGGCGAGGTGGAGTTTGCGCACCTAGGGGTCGGTTGAAGCTGTAGTCGTGCTCTTGACCGCTCGGATAAATTAACGTTGATGGTTATTAGCTCCTCCTCTTCGAATACCCTCGTATTGGTCCCCGATAGTAGCCCTAGAGCATGCGAAGGAGTAGAATACTCATTCGGAGGTTTTTCTGAACGGGAGGACTCTAAGGGCCCTGGCCTTCTTTTGCTGCCCATAGTATGTCCCGGGGACGGTGATTCCCTCTCATCGAGGTCGGACCCTTCGTGGGTATGGCCTATGGCCATGAGACTTGGTGGGTTGTTAGCTAGCTAGTTCGAGTGGGGTCTCTGCATCCTATTCATGCGGAGTCGGCTAGGGTCAGCTTGGTGACCGACTTTAGATTCTCAGCGGTCAATCCATATAGTTCTCGGGTCCGTTCGATCGGTCCCGAGGGCTCTCTACCTTTCTCTAGGGAGAAACCATGGATCGTTCCCAGCCGAGACTCGATCATGGGCCGGGATGCCCGTGGCTTTGTGTGCCTAGGTACTGGCTGCTTGCGGGCCCATCCCTTATTCTAAGGGTGCCCGGAGCGGTTGTTGATCCCGTCGATGGGCCAACCTTCGAACTCCTAGGCCTAGGCGAGCCGTAGAGGTGTTTTATGATCTGTATTCCTCTTACTCGTGACGAGTCGTGGCCCGTCCGGAGAGGCGAAACGTCTGGCGAGTTTTTCGAGAGAACGGACAGAGATTATGTGCGCACTTCCCACGGCGAGACGTTGTGGCTGATCGTGGTAGGCGCGGGGATCTAGGCGGACGGTTGGTTTCCTCGCACCCATCGCCCCTGTAAAACCAAAGGGTTTGCCCCCTGGGTTCCATACCTTGCATCCTTGCCTCCGCAGCCACGACCGCCGCCGCCAATCGCTTAGGTCTCTTGCCTCTGCATCTCCAACATCGTCGAGCTCGCATCCGTCCGCTCCCACCTCCAATGGATCTGTGGTGCCGCTCCGACATCACCTTCCAACGCATGGAAGGTCTCATCCGTTGCGGTCTTCTCCGTGCACGAACCTTGGCCGAGGAGTGGCTGTTGCTTGACGAGGAGGATTGGCCGTCGCCGCCCGATGGCTATGTGGTGTCGTTCGCCCACTTCCATGAGCGTGGGTTCGCGACCCCTGCCCACAGATTTCTTCGGGGGCTGCTGCACTACTACAAGATCAAGCTATAGCACCTCAATCCCAATGGGATCCAGCACATGGTGGCTGTAGGGGACCGTGACGCCTAAGAGGGGGGGGGTGAATTAGGCAACTTAAAATTCTAACTCTAAACTATGGCATCTTTTTCTAACCTTAGCAAAACTTATGCAAAAGATAAATTATCTAAATGTGTAACTACGGTTTTGCTAGTGTGTTGCTATCTCTACCGTAAAAGGAGTAATACAATCAATATAAATGCGGAAGCTAAAGAGCAAAGTAGAGATATGCAAACTCCCGTCGACGACTCAGGTATTTTTATCGAGGTATCGAGAAGCACGCAAGCTTCCCTCTAGTCCTCGTTGGAGCCCCTCGCAAGGAATCCCTCACAAGGGCCAAGCTCCTGGTCAGGTAACTCCGTGGATAGCCCCGGGCCTTCCCCACGCGTAAGTGGGTCTCTGACGTGCCTTCCGGCAAGCCTCTCCCGGATGCTCACCGCTGTCTTCACTATCAAGCTTCCGGCCGAAACGCCGTGGGCCTTGTTCCCTCCAGTACACGGTGGCGGCCACACCACAAACGCGGTTGGTGTGATCTCGCAAGACTACAAGCCCCTTCGATGTACAACAATGGTGCGCGCAAGCACCGAGTGGTAAGAGGTATGCAAACCTCACTAAACACTAGTCCTAAACCTAGAGCAAGCGCATAAGCGGTGGTCTAATCAACCTAAGCACTTCGCAAAGCATCTACGCTAATCACCTAATGAATCACTAAGCACTATGCAAGTGGAGATCACTAAAATGGTGTATCAACACCCTTGATGTGTTTCCTCAGCTCCACACACCTCATTTGACCAGTTGGGGGTTGTATTTATAAGCCCCACTGAGAAAGTAGCCGTTGGGGATGAAATCCCGCTTTTCTGCTACTGACCGGACGCTGATCACGTTTTGACTGGACGCATTTGGTCGTCCTGACCGTTAGAGCCGCGATCAACTGATCGGACGCTGCCAGCGTCCGGTCACATGCCACCGGACGCATCCGGTCGCAATTTCGCCGCTCTGGAACCTTTCTGTACTCGACCGGACACTGTAGTTCTGCGTCCAGTCGATTTGCCGCCAGCGTCCGGTCGCTGCTGCTGATGCCTGCTGTAGTCGAGTCACTGATCGGAGCGTCCAGTCAATCGCCTTCCAGCGTCCGGTCCAGCGTCCGGTCACCTCTGTGAGCTCGTATCTTCGTGATCTTGCGTTCGGCTTGGTTCCTATCTTCATGCTTAGACTTTGCTTGATATCTTGGGTCTTCTCTTGTGCTTCTAGAGTCTTGCTTATGGTGTTGATCATCGGATCATCACGTCGCCTTCGCCCAAGTCACGTCTTGCACCCTATTGACCTACAAAATAATCACTTGTAAATTCAT